ACATGTAGTTTGTCAAAAAAAAAAAAACATTCAGATTGTACACACAAGTACTCTGAAGTTGATATTAAAATGAAGTTCGAGTATCTGATTGACAATATCTATAAGGTTTTTGGAGACCACATCTTCCAACAATCTTTTGGAATTCCCATGGGTACCAATTACGCCCCGTTATTATTATTTTTTGTATTCATATGAAGCACAATTCGATCAAAATCCTTTACGTTAGAAGAAGAAACAAATTGCTTTGGTATCAACTCTTCATTTAGATATATCTAATGATCGAACGACATTACTTTTTTCCCATTTTCGTGTCGATAAGCTATCCCGGTGAGCTTGAAATAAAAGATACCACAGAGTATGGCATATCTCTTTCATATTTGGATAGACGTTAATGGTAATCAAACAATAGAGCTCTATGACAATCGTGATGCCTTTAACTTTTCAATCGTCAACTTCCCTTATTTATGCAGCAATATATGTCTACCTTCATCACCTGCATACGGGATGTATATCTCTCAGTTGATTCGAGACGCAAGAGCATATTCTGCGCATGAACAATTTCTAAAACGAGTTAAATTATTAACAAACAAGTTGGTGAAACAAGAATATCAGCAGTCTCGTGTAAAGTCATCATCTCTTAAGTTCTGTGGTCGATATATGTAATGACCTTGTCAGCAAATACACTGTACAATTTATGATAATATGAAATGCTGACAGACGTTTTTCATACTTATTGTCAGGCCATTATTTAAACAATGGTCGACGGATTTTTTTCGTTATTTCCCGATCATGACAAAAGGAGCACACGGCATGTGTAAATAACCGGTCGACAGGGGATTTTACTCCTCCATTGCACCTGATCCCACCTATGATGATTTGGAGGTCCGTATTTACTCTGCTCCAATTTTGCAAATGTTTGATGTACTTTTGATGTACTTTTGAGCTTGAATACTGTTCGTTATCTCCATATATTTCATTCATGGAAACGATTTTTCTCTCCAATTTTTATGATAAAAATAATATGTTGATATAGATATTCAATAAGGTGACAAAATAGTTAGATAAAACATAAACATACTACATGTAGTAAGACTGTCAGAGTTGATCTTGTTCAAAAAATCCATGGATGAGTAAAAAACAGAAATTGTAGATTCCTCAAGGTGTCCGTCAAACTATTGACAGAAATAAAAGCATTACAAGCCAATCAATCCTTAATCAGATCACACAAAATTAAACTTGATGGACTGACAAGACTCAAGTAGCAACTATAGTCTACAAATAAATACGTGTCTGATGTTATTCAAATATTAAATTTTACATTCAATCATATAACAATTAAATATCATTTAGATATATACCATAAAACCTTGTGCTATTATTTTCAGATTGTTACATGCAGACAGTGAATGTTAGTGTCGTAGGGAAAGCCTCTAAAAGGACACTAGGCTTTAAATATAAGACTTATGTTGAATTCATTTTGTGCGGTGGAAAAAGTGACTTTTTATTAGTGTAAATTATTGTGATGTGATAATTATATTCAAAGCAACGGCGACTTTGTTGAAAAAGATGAATGAACTTTAATTTAACAGATGAAAATTGAAATAAATATAATTATGTTACTTAGTTATGGAACATATAATAAAGCATTTTCATTTAGTCAACATTCAAAAACATTGCAGTGATTCTATGATATTTCCTGCCAAGTTACTTTGCCAAAAACGATAATAACAAAGAACTTGTTAAGACAGAATAAACCATTCCAAGACATTCCATATTACTCCAAGACAATAACAACAAGCCATTTATCATTAGAGTGCTCCATTGGTGATCGGAAGGTCGTACGTTCGAGCCCTGGTACCGACCAATCTACCGGGTAAGTCGGTAAACAAAATAGGTACTTCCCTAGCAGCTGTCATTTGCCAAGCACTCAGCAGTGCACGCTGCTTTTGCTATGCTCTCATATATAGAATTGATTTAAAAGGAAGTGACGTGATAGGCTAATCTTCCATGCACTTTCCTCTTCCAGTCATCTGACTTCCATTTATATTGGTACTTAGTATTTTATGCAACTTTTGTATTAATTATCCCTTTTAGTAGTATATTTCAGGACGTCAAGTCTTGCATTGGTCAGATTTCCAACTTTTCAAACATTTTTAACTGAGGAAGAAGAGAGTTGACGCTCAAGTAATCTGAATAGTACGGAAGCGTATTAGTGCCTCGCAATATTTTTTTTTTAAGTTGGTAATTCCAACTTTAAAGTTGGTAATTCCAACTTTAATCTTGGCTTTTCCAACTTTAATCTTGGCTTTTTCAACTTTAAAGTTGGTAATTCCAACTTTAATCTTGGCTTTTCCAACTTTAAAGTTGGAAATTCCAACTTTAATCTTGGCTTTTCCAACTTTAAAGTTGGTAATTCCAACTTTGATCCTGGCTTTTCCACCTTTAAAGTTGGTTTTTCCACCTTTAAAGTTGGTTTTTCCAACTTTGATATTGGCTTTTCTACAGGAAAATTACCAACTTTAAAGTTGGAAAAGCCAAGATTAAAGTTGGAATTTCCACTTTAAAGTTGGAATTACCAACTTTAAAGTTGGTATTACCACCTTTTAAAAAATATTGCGTGGCACTAATACGCTTCCGTAGAATAGTCACTAATACTGAAACCTAAAATCTTCTCAAGGGGAATGAATTTAGAAATGAGATAATTTGGACAAAGTTCAAATAATTTTAATATTACAACTCATAATCAGAACTCTTTATAGCAAAATTGTGGTAAATATTACTCAAAAAACATTGAAAGACTAAAAGATTTGTGGTTGAACTCAAAAATTGGAGCCAAAAATTAACGTCATAACGAACGACGTCGGTAACATGCTTGTCATACGGACAAAACCGAACTTTGTATACTCACTTTAATATTTAAAAAAAAATTTCATACAACTGACTTCAATATGATAGGACCAATTTATTGTTAAAAATCAAAAATGTTTATAGGTAACGGAATCATGGTAAAACTTTTGCAGCTTAAACATTTGATTCTTTTAAATTTTATAACAGTTGTGACATTACTTTTGAATCAACCTTTGTACATGTACATTGTACGAGGGTTGTCCAGAAAGTTCGTGGACAATTAAGCTAAAATTTATAAAAAGGTTGTGTCATTGATATTATTATTAGCATATTTATAATCCTGTACTAAATGTAAATTACAAAATGTAAAATGTTATTCAATTTCTAATGTATAATTACATGTATGTAATAACTACAAAAGTAATCTTTATGGCGAATATACTGTAAAATCACATATTTTCGTGGTTTGAGTAAAAACTCTTGGTTCGTTGGGACTTGAATTCGTGGATGAAGAATTGCTAAGTAGTTATGTATGTAAAATTTACATTTCGTGTTGGACATGAATTCGTGGGTCTCCTCATACCTCGAAAACAACAAAATTAGACCCCCACGAAAATGTTTGATTTTACAGTATTTTTAAAAAAAATGTTAAATGGATGAAAAATGTTTTCTCAGAAACATTTTTTATTAGAAAAGATTTTAAGGGATATATTTTCACTACAGTATTTCAGTCACCTAGTTTTGAGTGACCCTCGCATAAACCACAGATACAGAACACGAAGAAAAATTCATCATCTAAAATTTCATGAATAAAACTCTTGGAATTTTTCTTTCACTTCTGGCGTAATGTTTCAAATTACGTCATAAATGAACATATTTGTTTCTAAAACTCCATTTCACTCATCTCTTTGTTTGGACACAAGTGATCAAAGGAAACACAAAACATAGAGCCAACTGCCATTTGATGGGAAGACAAAAAGTAGTTCCTGATAATGACGAAACCACAACTGGTGAAAGAGAAAAGCTTAATGACATAAAGTTCCAAGTTGATGGGTGAATTTCCGGTGTCTCTGTAACAACCTTAATGCAGAGGAAGTGCATGGAAAGGGAAGATTTTTGACTGATATAAAATTTTGCCGTTATCTGTAAAAAAGAAGATTGTATAACATATAGATACACAGTGTGATAATGTTTTAATTGTTTTAGGCTAAGTTACAGAAGTCTGAAAATCTGCGCATTACATGAGATTTTTTTTCCCTCCCTTGATCCTTTATAAATACGTGTACCGTGATGCTGTTGGTCTGTAACAATTGCACTCTGTGATTAATTCGTAAAGATATACTGACTGATAAAAAAAGAGTTCTAGATAAGAGATGCAATTCTCTGCTCGTTTAATTGACAGAAATATAGATAAAAAGCAGTATGTTACTTTTGAAAGATGCAATTGGCAAAACATATCATATTACGTTATGCAACTGTAAACTATGGGATGCAAACTCCAAGAGGATCAAATATACTGATTTCATCTAAATGTTTTCCAAGTGGAATGCTATATAAAGATCAGTATATACGCAACCGGTGAAACTGAATACATGTATTATTTAAAAGGGAATAAATGTTCAAGGTTAAGGCATCATCCAGAGCAATTCTAAGATACATGTTTTCTTTAATCTGCCAATTTTTTAAAATAAAACTACGTCATTACCTTATTTTCGTGTGGATGTTAATTATTGTAATAGACTACAAACTAGAATGGTTACAAATACGGATAATTTCTTGTTCTTCACACATAAATCTTAGCAGAACAAAATTGTTAACAAATGGATAACAAATGGAAAACAAAAAGTATCTAAATGAATTCTTCACACTCAACATGCTCAATATTTTGCAATGCTCTTTGCAAACAAATCTTGAGGCCACACCTTGGCCTAATGACCAAGAGTTTAAGGTCTTGTATAGAAATTGAACCTTTGTTTCCAAATTCCATAGGGTTTTTGACTTTCTCATGGGATATAGAGCAAGGTTGTTATTACATTAATCTGCCAATTAAAGAGTAATAAACAATTGTTTAATGCTATGAAACTATTTGCAGCATTTGTTTAGTTTTTGTCTTTAGGTTACCCCTGGAGGGAAAAAAAGCAAAAAGATACATGTTTCTTGCCTGTTGTTTATTCCAGTCTCATAACAATTTATCTAACTCATAACAATTCACCCTGTTTATCCATACATTTCTGGACAAAAAAAGGTCGTTTGACTTTTACTTACAAGCCTATAACAAAAGAAATAATCTTATAGATTTTTTAAGCATATATATACTAAAAACATATGAAAAAGAAAGCCCTTTGTAAAAGAAATTACAGTTTAAAATTGTTAGTAATGCATTAAATTTAATCTCACATTGACATTTTTCCACTTATTTCCTATCTATTAGGCTACAATATATGGCTATACAGAAAATCTCTAAGTCAGAGAGGAATGTATTGCTGTCATACAAAACATAATAAATGTAACAGGTAATTGACCTACATGATATAACCTGACCACTGTTTTTTTTTCCATATTGCACTAAATAAGTACACAGCATATGGGAACTTTGGTAATCCATTTCAGTTTCATATTAAATTAATAAGTAGAATTTACATATAAATGAGCATTGATGTGAGTACATTAATGACAAGCTGTTTGATTTTAGGTTAAGACTTGACCTCCACGATTTTGACAAAGACATATTTGCACAAAATGAAACAAACTGAAATGGCATATTATAACATTATTATGGAAACCAAAAAAAAATCACTGAGTTCAAACAAAGATGATGACATTATAAAAGCTGTATTTAAGATATGTACATCTTTCATCTGCAGTCAGAGATTCTTATTTTACCATTCATAAGATGTAACAAAAAATTAAGTAATTCATGAAATTAAAATTTGATTTTGTCTAATTAATATGACATTTCACAGTCCTGAGAAAAATGAGACTGAAATTGACTTTAACGCAGGTGTACATGATTAAGTATTTGACAGTCTATCATTAAACAAATATATCAGTTTCATTTTGATGACACTTATATCAAGATAAGTTTTTAATTAGGTCATAAAGTATATTTTAAGAAATGTCTACTAGCTGTAAAATTGAGTCAGCCTGGTCTCAGAGTTTGGTGAGTTTCAAGTCAATCTAAAATTGCTTCCATTTTTTTTTTTAAATTATGGCCTTCATGACCCATATGTTCAGAACATATCATGATTATTTCTTTCATTTCTAAAGCAATGAATTTTATGAAAATATATATATTTACAATATGCACATGAATACTTTGTGCAATTTTATTAACTTAAAAGTTTATATATTACATATTTTATAACACTCGAATATCTGTTTACATCACAAAGTATGGATAAAAAAAGGATTTACATAAAGCACCAATATTAAGCAACTTTCTTCTGCAACCATATAAAACAAATATTTACATGTACATTATTTATTGCAAGTCTGAATTATACACATACAGTCAATTCTGTATCTACAAGATGGGTATACTGTTCCAAACATCCTGTGACTATATATAAATTAAAATATGTACAGATTACTGGAAATAAAGTTTACAAATGCAAAATATTAAGTAATTATTTTCAAAAAGCAGCTAGTTGGTTTCATGTAGCACTTAAATTCAAAACATGCTTGAAAAGTATCTTTTTAACAAAGCAAATGATTTACAGTCAATTTTTAAAAATCATTCTCATTTGAAAATATGACTGTAAAAATTGAAGAAATAAATGGCATGATGTTCAATTCTTTTTTAGCAAATAATGTAACATGTTCACATATGCAGCATGTGCAGTCCAGAAAAAAGGGAAAAAGGACCAATTTATTGATTTGCATCATTTTTGAAGTCCAACTTCAAAAGTCCATTTTTAAGACATGACATGCATGTTTTAAAGTATCAGTTCTGGAATTATTTAAGTAAGATTTTCTCAGATGATTTCAGGATTAAAACAGTGACTCTTGTCCTTGTTTATTTGTGCATGGCATGTTCCTGCATTGCTGCAGTATCTTGTACCAGTACAAAAGCTTTGTTCCAATTGTTCAATATGGCCACTGGTCACTTATTGTTTATGATATATATGGCACTCTGTTGTGTATCTATATTGCCCTAGATGTGCTGCTACGAAGTCCATGGTTCAAGGTCACTGGGGGCATATTTCTTCTTTGTTCTTTTCCTGTAAAAATAAACCAGATACACAGTAAATATTATGCTGAGAAATACCATGTACTGGTGGTTACGGAAGCAATGTGACATAGTGAGGGTGACAGGTTAATAAATAAGATAATAATGTATCTCTACAAATAGGCCATCATACCATAAATGTCAGATAATCTACTATCTAGAAGTCTTTATAGCAAAAGGCTAGTTTAACTTCTTTGTCAAAATTGCCATGTATTAAGCAAAGATGGAGAGATATTTTTTTTAAAGATAACTTATATGGTATCTGATTTTTTTGGATAATTTCAATGTAACTTTTGTATAAATTCAAGGATCGAGCCTTATTTTATATGTTGATATAAGATGTAAATTTCTACCTAAGGTGCAATGCTCTCATTTCTCAAGTCACTTTGAAGCAATGGTTTCAAATTACAATTAAACTTCAGTATCTTGAATACCGGTAACTTTGAAATTTACATCAAAACCACCTTTGTTTGAAGTATTTTAATACTTTATGTTTTGAACTAATTGCACTTTTTAATGCATTATATCTTGTATTCTCAAATTATCTTGAACTCTTTACTGGACCCAACAAAATCATTGTAATCTTCAGCTAATGATTAGTATATTCATCATGCACAGTAATAATTCACATACATACTTAGCCCATGGCCCTGATATTAATAATAAAATGTCATATAAAACATTTCAAACTTGTTACAAGTGTAATAAACTGTATGCACTGGATATAAGGTCAGGCCTACTTCAGAGGATATTATTTACCCCATCTTTCCCCTGTCCCATGGCCAAAGCCCGCGAGTTCTTGTCAGTAATTAACCAAATAGCTGTCACTATTAAGACCAGGCACTCATGCTTATTTCTTGTTTGTATATTTTCTATGCATTTTCGTGCAACTTTGTGATGATACTGGCTTAGGTAACATCATGAATTTAAATTCATAGAGGTATGTATTTATTTCTTGATTGCCAGTTTCTTCTTTAAAAAGTTAAACCTATAATTCAGAATATTATCATGCATGAGTGAAATTTTTGGTTAATGAGCATTTCATTTTCAAATTTTTTTTTAAGAAAACTGATTTTATTTTTTTCATTATGCAATTAATTAATAAATTTTTTTCAATTATTGCTATCTTTTTGATGGAGTACATGATATTGACTATGCATTTTCTTTTTAATTTGATTTCAAAATTTCACAAGTGGTATGAACAATTTACTTTTCCTATTTCTTGGCTGTATGGAACTATATATAACATCTAGCTGCTATATCACATTCCCATTTCTCCAATTTCAATTATTCTCAATGGCAGTATCACAGTCATACAACATTAATAAATTATTGATATCAATATATATAAGGTTTACCGTCAGGTTAATATCTATTGTAATCTGGCCATACGGCCTTAAATCTGGCTATATGACCTTAAGATAAAATTAATCCTGAAGAAAGTTGTCAATTAAACTTTCTGCTTGCAGTTCCGACTCATAATCCTTTAATCCAGTGAAACTGTGAAAATCTGTTCATTTTTTTTTTGCTCCATATTTATTTCAACCATTGCCAGAGGATATTCATTTCTTGGATTATTTGCCTCTGAGCAGGATTACAATAATTTAAAACCGTTTTCTAGTAAGTATCATTACAATTTTTAACTCTTGCTATTGTATGAAATGTCCTCATTCAATTAATTAAGTTGTGCCAATCTAAAATTTACTTGTCATATTATCATAATATGTCCTTATTTAGTTTACTAAGTTGTGCTAATCTAAAACTTATATGTACTGACAAAAAATGTTGATTTTTTCCTCAAGAATAAGGTTATATAAGCAGGTTAAAAAAAATTATTGAACTACAAGATATTTTAAAATTAAATGTTTTAAATATGAAATTCTTTTTTTTTTTTAATTTGGGTTTCTGTAAATTTATCTCATGGGGGTTTTACTATGGCAATTCTAAATCCAGTGTATGAAGAGACCCAGGAATTTATGTCCACCACGAAATGCAATTTTTCACAGATATTACTTTTGAACAGTTCTTCAACCACGAAATCAAATCCTCATGAACCAATATATTTTCCTCAACCATGAAAATTTGACCCCTCTAACAGTCAGGGGCATAACTCAAACAAGTTATTAAAAAAAATAACTTAAATAAGTTATTTTACACACACAAGTTATTTTTATATCCTACTTGGACATTGATTTCTTGGAAATTTTGTGTTTCCTGCCAATTTGCATTGCATTTTGGGACTCCATTATGTAATACTAGATGGAGTTCACTGACTCCAATGGAGAATTGGTGAGGAGGTGGAGACAAACAGCATTTACACCTTATTTTGTGGTTTTATCCTCATGCTGTATATTTCCAATTTTTATCATTAAATAAAAAAAATTCCCCACTTTTCCCAAGACTTTGAACACTTTTCCTGCATTGAGGAAGATTTAAATTTAGTCAAACATTTGTTTTTGTCTTGGTGCACGAGCAAAATCCTTTGGTGCACGGGGTGTGAAGTTAGGGAGGAATGACACAAAATGACTTAAACAAGTTATTTAAGGAATCACTGTCTAGTTAGTGTAGTATGCCAGGGCATCAACAATAGTGGGAAACATGGGAGAATCTGCATAAGGGGCGAAACCCGTTATGCATAAATTATCCCATGTTTCCCACTATCGTTGATGTCCCTGGAATACTACACTAACTAGACAGTGATTCCTTATTTTTCCATTTCATTGTGAAATAAAATTGTAGATTTAGACTTTAAAAATGTAGATTAATAGATTTAAATTACACGAGGTCTTCCATGTCAATTTCAATAGTCCTCACCCACTGACGTCAAACACAAAGGCAGCCGCACGAGATTTACATGCAAATTTGGCCTCCTTAATGTCAGACACAGAGACAGATGCGCACGAGATTTGCATGCGTATTAGGCCTCCTTAGCTCCTGACCTATCGACCTGTCTAATTTACATTCCGGCAGAATTATCAAGAAATAAATTCCCCCAACTTTCAAAGAGATATCACAGAGAAAAAAATTGGAAATGGAAATATTAATTTATTGAAGCTATTTTGGAAAAATAACGTGTTTGAGTTACTAAGGCTGGGAAAAATAGGTCATAGCAAAGAGAAGTAACTCATTGATTAAGTTATGCCCCTGACTGTCAAAAATATGTGCTTTTACAGCATTCTAATTTTTTTTAAAAAACACCAAAATCACAATTTAGTTCTCCACTGACTGATGCAAGATAGATTTCTGGGTAATGATTATATTAATATTAGAATTCTTTAACTTTCAACATATTTGAAATAATCATATTGTATTTTTCTGAAAGGAAACATTTTTCAGATACAAAAAAGCTAAAAATCAAAGTACTGAATGTTCTGATACTATATTTTCACTGTGAATCATGATTCATATATATACTTTTGAAGATTTGAAAAAATAAATTTCTTTTCTCCTTTTTTCAGTCACAAATAGATACCATGTAACTTCTATGACCAACAGTTTACAGTGGAATTGCTTTTGCTAATTATGGCGATGCAATACATGGAGCTATTTGAAATGAGACCTAATATGACTCATCTAGAAAGCTCAATGGAAAACCTTACAGCAGAAGAATTTGTGAAATTCATTGAATCCTTCAATGTGTCAGACATTATGAAACTTGACACAGGGAAATACCTCCAAGAGCCCGATGCTATTGTTATGATGGTCTTGTGTGTTCTAGCTCTCGGTACCAACATTATTTCCATTCTGGCTACAAGCCATGTGCCCTCAAATCTCTTTACTGCTCACTTTCGACTGATACTAAGCCTTGCTGCATCTGACATAATGATCGTGGTCAGCATTGTGTTTCACATTTTGAACAAAGTTATGAATCCACCTCGGATATTCCACCTCCATTCTCAAGAAGAACGCTTAGTGTCATCTTGTGGATTTCAGCTTGTGGTTTCGATCAACGTCACTGCTCATTTGATCTCCCTCCTGAACCTTTTCGCCATGGCACAGGATCACTATGTGGCCATTATTAAACCTCTACACTACCACCACATTATGCGTCCCAGCCGAGTTAACATCATGATAATTATTCTGTGGGTCATTTCATTTCTGGGTGGATTTTCCAACTTTTATGCAGGAATAGGAAAGCCTCCACATTTTAAAGACTTCAACATCTGTGAACGAGCCCTGTATAGCAGCTACCAGGCAGAATATCTGCTCATTCTTCTTACCATACTGTGTTTTCTAGGAATAACTGTCATTTACACAGCACTTTATTGCAAAATCAAACACCATAACAGCCTCAGAGTGACAATGTCCAAGAACAGAATGCACAACAGGAAAGCTCTTGTCACCACATTAATGATCATTGGAACATTTGCCGCCTGTTGGCTACCAGGCATGATCTTTCAACTGGCCCTGATTATTCAAATTCACATTGATGAATCCAAAATCAGAGATTACATTGTGAAGTTTGTAGAGGCCAATAACTACTTGTATATCCTTTTGCTGTGTAATTCTCTGTGCGATCCCATCATTTACGCAATTCGACTGCCCGAGGTCCAGCTTGGGTACCTCAGATTCTTGTCCAAGTACTTTGTGACTTTCAGGAAAATTCTTCACAGGAGAAGAATGAGTCAAACTTGGAGTGCAAGAACTAGTGTGAATACCTACACAGATACAGGGTGTGCTTTGAATCTTCTTGAGAGAAATAAAGAAAATGGTAACACAGCCAGCAGTGATTCAAAGAAGACAGTAGATTCAAATAATGACAGTATATGTTGAAATTTTGAAACTTGAAAGGATGCTGATTTAAAACTGAATTCAGTAAAACTGGAAGCAATTAATGCTATTGGATAACTTATACCCTTGATAATTCTTGAGCTGTCATTTTATACTGAAATTAACTTTAATGCACCCAAGATTATTTACATTTTCTTGAAACTTTCCATTTTAATCCTGATTGTAAAAAGACCTTTGTCCAACATTCCTCCATGACAATGCAGCTGTCTTCAATATTTTCGACTCAAGGACTGTTAATATTAGTCTGATGCTCAATGCAAAGTTTTACTTTTATAGAGAGCTGATGGAAAGCTTGGCAAAAATACAAATAATAGCTCTTGAAATTTTGTGTAGATGAACTTGAAAGTCAACAGTAGATTTTAAATACTCTTTATGAATTGTGCTTGATCATTTTGCTATTAATTATATATTCATGAAGCAAAAAGTCTTTACAATAAGTTAACTTGGCTTTTTATGACATATTTAAAAATTTTTAGGTCAGTTTTTTAATCCCCCACCACCATAATTCTTTTCTCACTTCAATCCAACAAGAGAGACAACTTAAATATAAGATTATTCTTTCTCATATGCAGTGCATTTCGGATGACAGAAAGTTGTGATGACTGTACATGTACATATTTTTTTCTTGCACAGTAAACAGAAAGGATGCAATAAATGTATTCATAAAAAGACAACATGGATAAATGAACTGGCTTAAACTGTTTTGCTGAGAATTTCTGATGATGTGTTTCAAAAAGCCTATCTAGAAAGCATACGTCCTAATCGAAAATTTATTTTGAAATGTCTTTGAAATGTTAACTTTGCTAAGTGGGTTTTCGCCTATTTTATTCTATCAACTTAAATCCTAATAACTTTTTTCTTTATCAAATTTTTCTTGCAATTTACTAAGAAGAAGTTATTTGAACATCTTATCGAGATAATTCATTTAAATTGATCGTAATAATCAATATATATAGATCATGTGACGATTATGCCAGCCAGCTTTCAAAAACTATTTTGGCATACATCACAGCGTGTTTTAATTTTTTTTGCGATATTGAACATAAGGTTTGATCCCTTAGTACTGATAACTACCATTACGTTATCAAACAATGAATGCTAGGATTGGCCATGAATGCGATTTCTAGAGATTTAGCAAAGAAATCTGTATCACAGTTGTCAAATCGCAATTTCAGATTCGTGCAAATATCCAATTATCATTTGGACAGTCTCGCTATAATGGCAAAATCAAAATGAACTTTTAAAAGATGATTTATATTTAAATGCGCATTCAATCGATCAGTTTGAGTGTCGCAAAAATATAGAAGACAGTAATTTTCATTTCCATTCTCCCTTTCACATACGTTTTTATTTTTCGTACGATACCTATGCATTATATTGTACATCGTGCATACTTAGATAATTTAATCGATTTACGTTTTTATGTCACAGAAACTTTGAAGATGGCAATTCTAGTCTTTGATGATCTCTTTTGCACTATCTTTTTCATAAAGTAACGTTAGTGCAATTTATGTCATGTATGCCCTGGTAATGCTAAATGATGCAATATTCGTATATTTAGTTTCGCTTGATGAAAAAAGTTTGCATCATGCTTTGTAATTAAGGCATAAAAAATCTCTGCTAAACACTTACTAAAAAATTATCACAAACTCATAAATACGTAAACCACTCAATAAATCAAATAAAATGAACATCAAACAACAAATTATATTTTTTCCCCTAACTCTCAAATATCTTCCCACCCCTTCTCTTAGAATATGCAAGCTCCGCCCCCACTTTTAAATGTCCTAATGACACTTAATTGAGCCCTGCGACTCTGGTTGAAATTGCCATTGTGCAATCGAGTTGATTTAGCGAGACACAAGATCAGGGTCAAGCCTATTATGTTTCCATAGAGGAACGGTAGCGTAACTTGGCATGTATTGACACAAGACCGTAGCATACAAAGAAAATAAAGTCAGAAATAAGATCAAATTACAGCAATCATAGCGTGTCACTGGCCATGAACAATCAACGTCAAATTTAGTAGAAAAAATGAACGCCTCGAAATGACACCAGGATCGGTGGCCATTAATGATCTACATTTTCAAGAACATCTGCAATCATATAAATTCAAGTATATACCACAACATATAAAATTTAATATACTTCTGCAATTAACTTCTTTTCACGTATTTTTTTAAACTTATTTTTTGCTTTAAAAAATCTACTCTCTAGAGTTTGGCCGATTTTCAAAGAAAAAGATCCAAGACATAAACCGAATAAGGCATGCTTTCAGAATTAATTTTTAATCTAACAAGAAGAGAAGGCCGCAGGATGAACACGCTAGTTACACGTTAAATAAGTGCTAACAGGTACGAATTATGTGATCGTGAAATCGGAGACTCCAAAAATTACAATTTGAACCTTCCCTTGCTGATTGCATGGCCATGTTTATTTATCGATATCATAACTGTTGACAGTTGTGTAATCTTTCATCCGAGTTATGCAGGCTGTAATTTTTTTAGCATTAAAGTCCTTTAACCTTGTAATTAAGGAAGGTGATTGGGTGTATGCAGTCCAAGTCCGCCTATGAGAAAAGGGGAATAACCTCAGAAGCAACCACAATGTTGAATAACTTTGAAAATTTTATGACATTTAAATATCCTGTTTGGTACTTTCATTTTTGTCTTTTTTAATATCAGCTTAATAATTTATCTTCAAGAAATCTTTCGAAATATTACAGAAAAATCATTTAATATTAATTTAGTACTGTAATATTGTCTTCATTTAAAATACAAACTCATCAAGCCACATGGTAGGATAATTGGTACAATAACCAGTAACTGTGAAGTTCATTTAATAAAGACAAAGTTATGGGCCAGCTAGTACATCCTAAAACAATGGGGACCAGTACCCCAATATATCACAGAGAACATGAAGATGTACAAAGCTGTCACCTGCCTGTAAGCTGTGGACAGGTGTCAGACAGTGTGTATGGAGGCTTTAGATGAGGATATACTGGAATCGTCCGTGTCGCTCTGACTCAGTTTCTGTTCGAATTCCGTTGCCTCCGTCATCGCTTTGTCCTTCAGCGCCATCTGGTAGGCCACCTCGAACGCTTCTCCCAGGGTCAGGATTACCTCCCTTGCTAGGTCCTACAATGGATGGAGAATTGTTTAATACTTTGTTTATTAATAAGCAGTGAATAAATCCAACATAAACAATCATCTCATTACTTAGACTGATGTTTAAAATTAGTTGAATCAGATTCATAGAAAAACTGATTAAAAATACTAATCCCCTTGAAGAATGAAACCATGTCCTCCAAAGGGATAAGAAAGTAGCAAGAGTCAACATTACTTGACACTCAAAAAATTATTGACTGCATGAAACCTATAAGTGCCTGGTTTATGCATTCCTGAAAACATTCAGTATAATGTGACAAAACTGCATGTGGCAGGTAGTTGAAGAAACATTGAAAATTTTCATCCCAAGAAAACCAACATCAACCAAGATGCCTTGAGTGACAATGGTTTTCTTGGCATAAAATTTTCAAATGTTATATCAACTAAAATACAATTTTGTTATATATATCATACTAAATGTTTCATAATTATACCAATACATAAAGTAAAGCTCCTGTGTACAAGGCATGTAAATAGACTTATAAACACAATGTGATGTATACATATATTTGAATGCTAAAGGCTGCATTATTTATAATAGGAAAGTTAAGGTGTGACAAATCAGGATGTGCATGTATCTCTTTTTAAAATCAAAAAAAACTTGAATAGATGACCTAAGCAGAAAAAAAATCTGCTGACCACAAAAAAAAATGACTTCACTTAACAGTACAAAATATCCTGCAAAGTTGTGGCCATAAAAACCCAAATAATAAATATAGCCCACTGACACTGCCCACAAACAAGGATCAAAATACTAAACTGTTGATGTACATTTTCCCTGACAATGAAACCTATAAACAATCGGAGGCCACAACAAATATGTGGGATGACCCTGGTGGACGTCCAGCCCTAGGTAAACATGTCATCACCGTGGATACTTAATGGAGCGTGCTGATCGCATTCACTGCCCCTAATTAACAGTAAAATCCTCACAATTGTATCAGCAAAAAGAAATATTTGGATAAACTGACTGAATGAGACAGAGTGTTTTGCTTGGATCTCGTTATTACATTTGGTATGATACTTGATAGGGTTGGGGTGATTTTTACGAGTTTATCAATTCTCTACATACAATCCTTAATCATGGTAGCTATCTCTCTCCTGAAGCCATGATTTTTTGTATACATGAGAAACGGAAATGAGTAATATATCACATACAAATGGGACCAAATACTACCTATCACATATATACATTTAGGTTTTATAAAAATACAAAATGTGAGATTGGGTAATGATGAATCAATATGCACTAACAAGTCTGAGTCAGAATATAGAATCATAAGGAAAAATACTTCACTTTTTAGCCAGTCTTAAAGTACCTTGAAATGAACATATTCTTTTTATATATCAATTGTAAATTTTTATTACGTTATAAGTATATATTGGCAATTTTAATTGTTGAATGAGATAACCCTATTCAATATATTTATAAAATGTCCAATTTCGTTGAAAATCAAGTTAGTATATAAATTGTAAATTTTTAACTTTGTATATATTGGCAATTTTAATTGTTGAATGATATATATAATTTGATACTGCTTTTAAGGAGAAGAAATTGTTCAAGAATTTGCCTAGTAAGCATTGCCTATGAAATGAACATACAGATACAGGGGGTATACCATAGAAATGGTTCGTGGATGCCTACAGCATACACTGTTAGTGTCTTGGTGTAATCCTAAACTCCTGTTGGCCGTAAGCATTGTTACACAATTCATTCAGAAAATTTGTCAATGAAAATTAACTCTTTTTTATCTGCATGTGCCCCACTGCCTCTTGGCACAAAACCACTTTATTTTCAATGACATGGGGGAGCCCTTCGACTTTTGTCAGCAATCGGTGACCTTTGTCCCCCGACGATTTAAATCTTTTGTTCCCGTCATCAGATAAGGACTCACAATCAAAGTCATCGCATTTTACCTTCTTTGCATCCAAATATCCTCACAAAAGGTGTGTGTCTTTTATATCAAATAAATACCATTATCATTCGATCAGGGGGATCATTATTCGTGCTCTCATTGATTCTTGGCAATTTAACTCTTTCTTTCGTGAAAAAAGTCAAAATATGCAATATTTAAACTGTGACAAAAAATCTACATATATTGATATCGTACAATACAGCTTCCATTAAATCAATCTATTTAAGGCCGTTCGGACAATACCACAATGGGCGATTTTCGAGGCACATATATCAATATCATTTAATGTTAGCCAATAACAAATACATCATAATTACACAAGGCTCGTGATTCGCATTAGTCATTATGATAAATGGCAAACACCCCTAATTGCGGCAATGACAAGAGGGGATAGTTTGCTTGATTTCCATTAGAAGTTTTGTTGTAGCTTCAGCATTTTTTGTCCCTCTCTTAACAAATGTCATATTTAGGCCACTGGGGTTCTATTGTAAAATGAATTTATCACCATGCATATTGACCCAGAAGGAAAAAAATAGATGATTTATAATCTTGTGTGTCGTGAGGGAAGGACAAAACAAATGGATTATTTCCATCAAGAAAAAAAATGTCAAGTTCTTATAAATATATGTTTCTATCCTGTGCACATGTGCATGCAGTATATTAACAATATACTAAGCTTGTTTTCATGGGTTGGTTATCGAAGCAAAAATATTTAGGTACCTTAACTAATCGATGCCCTTAGATCTTTCAGTAATTCATATTTGGAGAATATTATTACAAAGTATGAAGGGTTAACTTTCATGATTTAAACCTTTAAAGAGTCACTGTATATTCATAAGAATCTTTATGAATAAATGTATCATTATTTAAAGATTTTTTGAAATTTTAAACGATTTCTTAATAAGTTTGTTGTTGAAAACAATGTAAAATAAAATGACATCGTAAAAATTGATCGATTGGATAAATAAAATTTGCTTATAATTTACACAAAATCTACATATATATCACTTTAATATTAGCAACTGACAGTATTTACAGCTTCATAATAAATCTTTCGTAACTCCGCCATTTTGAAACTACTACAGAATGAGGTCATGCACATGGTTGCGCAAACTCAATATAAAAATATCTTACAGAATAATTCACTTGTCAAGTGCGTAGAAACTGCTGCACACATTTTTGGAAAGTTTACGAAATCGTTAATAATGCAATTTCCGTACAAGATCCTTCGACTTAATTTTCTTTTAAATATAGTCCATTTTAAGACTGTTTGTTACAAACTAAGTAAACATAGCTGTAAAATAAAGAAGAGAATATTAGATTGTACATTTGGGTGTAATTAATGGAAAACCCAAAAGAAATTGATTAAAAACAAAATAAAATTTTAAAAATACTCTTTATGCCTTCTTCTACACAAAATTAAGGTATGTTGTTGATTTTTTAATTTAATTTTTTTTTTTTGAAGGAAAAGGGATAAAATGACTTATATTTGAAAATTCCAACTTTTATGTGGCAGATAAAAATTCCATTGTAATATACACTAAAAACGAATATCTTCCCGTACTTGGCAGAAAATTCTTTTGCATGATAGATTCTCTTAGATGCAAGTCTTAAAGTTAGGATACTGTCTGTTTACTTCATATTGGTATTAATATTTATTTTATTTATTTTTATTTAATACCAGTATTAAGGCAATTATCATACACAGCTGATTTGTTCAGACCCACCAAAAACTATTGACTTTACACACGTAAATCAGGAAACTTTGAATGTATTACCAGGGGTATTATAAATTCATCTAATGACTGCAATCTAAGAGTATATACAGCAGTTATAATATAATTTCAGTCTGATTAAGAATGGAGTTCCTGGTATTTGCTTTTTTGTTAGATGATTTAAACAGTGAATTTTTAATTACATCTGTACCCCGAGATAAAGTATTTAATTGAATTAGAAAATAATTTCACAAACATGCATGGTAATTTAATTCTGTATTTCTCTATTACTTAAAAGCCTGGAAGAGATCAAAAATTCCATCACATATGCAATTTGGAAAGCAGCACAATTCAAAGTAAATTAATTCCAATTTCTGAAAATTATAATATGAATAACAACATACAACTGATTTTCATTTACACTAACACCTTGCACAAACCCCCCTTACATACAGATGCAGCACCCCGCTGGGGAGGGACCCTGACAGATGTTGCCTCATCAGTCTGCCCCTCCCCTAAATCTAACCAGGGGTAAAATCTATGGAAACCCCCAAACTCAGAAATCACTCAGCCAGAAGTGTTTAACAAACTGTAAAATTCAGTACAAAGGGAGATAATGCTATTTCAGTACTCCAGGATAGAGAATTTACAAGTTTGTGTCTCGTTGTTTCTATATTAAATGTAAGGGCCAGGCTGTCTATGCCACTCCAGAACATCAATAGAAATCACATTCATTACCAATTCAAACTGAACAAAAATTAAATCTTTCTTTAAAAGGGAAAATTCCATATTTAGCTTAGAGCTCCTTTTTAAGTGATTATGTAGTATTGAAGACTGGTTTACTTAATTAATAATCAAACAGGATTTACAAAGAAAAAAAAAGGGCTATCATTAATTACACTATAGTTCATTAGCAGTACAGAAGTATAAATGTTAGACCAATAAAAAAGTATCAGTACAGTTTATCATAAAGAACCTTAAATTAAAGACCCCCCCAACCACCTCAAATCTGTGTATATATGCAAAATATGTTAAATGTCTGCAGTCTCAGTATAATGCAGCCAGTGTGCTATATCAGTTTACATGTTATAACTTACCGCTGTCCGACAACTGAACACATGGCAATAATGTCTGGATGTCTGGTTATCCCGTGTGATGTAAGCGAAGAAATTCATACTCTGGGCGTCCTGGCATGCACAGAAGATGTTCCCTATCTCGTGGTCACAGATCACCTTCTTGGACTTGGCGTCAATGAATTTCACTCCTTTGTAGGATATTGACAACAAAATGGTGGGAATTTTGGCGATGACTTCTGCTGATTTCTGTTGATGAGAACATTTGAAAATTCAGACAATCATGAATAATGAAATGATCTCAATGTTTTAAGAGAAACCAGAAACATGCATTCCCTTTAGAATATTACATGTGCAAGTCATTACACATGTATATGTTATGGTTACAATATAAATTATCTGTTCATTATTAACATTTCAAAACAATCTTTAATTATCATTCATAAGACTTTTTTTTTTAATTAAATCAATAAATTTGCAAAATTATTTGATGGCAAAGAAAGAGATGAAAAACAAAAATATGCCAATTGATGCTTTCTCATGCTGCAAGAGATGGATATATATTTCTCATTTCATTGAAAAAAAAGTTTAAGAAACATTGCCTCAGCTAAAAATTCCCTCATAATAAAAAAAAATACAACACAGTTTCATCACTGAGTGATATAAATTTAAGATGTCAAGCTACACAGAGACATGAGGGAAGCTATTTAGTAAATCTTGACAGCTCTGAATGGCTGCGATTCAGTAAGATCAAGGGGATTAAACGAAAGACCCTGACAATCCGTATTAGTTCATATTTCACTATTACATCTGTCAGAGAAAAAGGAAATTTTAATGCGTAACTCGGAGTAGAAATCACAAGATTAATGATCAAGTGGCCTTTATCACTTTCACAACTGAAGGTTTTTTTCGTCGACCGCATCACTTAGGGGCCTTCCAGCTATAGTCTGTTTTTTGCGCTTGATTTCTGCTACTGATGAACACCGAGAATTAGCATTTTTCAAATTAATTTCGCTCTTGAAGCCCATCTGAAATCAGGGGTACTGGCACGGAAAATTTGATATAACTTGCGGATCTGAAGAAAACAAAACTATCTCGTCTTCTAAACTGAAAACGATGACTTTCAAGTCCCGGGCTTGGCCTCCCATGGGATTCAGCATCCGAAATGAAATATGCTTTTTTAAATCTCTAATTTCTCTGGTTATGTCTAGCATCTTTTGATCACATATGACTTATGAGCTTACAATGGGATGGAAAATTATTAAGAGTTATTGGGAATGCATTGGGCTTACTCAAGCGTGATGGCCCAATCATGTCCAATATTAAGTTTACATTTCATCTTTTAATCCTCCCACTAGAAATAAATATCAGCAGTCAGGTTTTAATATGGCCTGAGATCTCCAACCTCCATAAAGGCAGATGTAATGTTCAATGTCATGTTCATGGCATTGGTAATTTTAGTATGTACATTAGTTCATATCATAGAGATGCATAAAAACTTTATCCATAAAATCTGTATATGAAATATTTCTATATATACTGTCTCCCTATAATTTGATATTTAGGACTAAACTATGCCTCAAAGACTGAAATCACTGGACTGTCATTTGTGCAAAATAAACTGATTTCTGCTTTTATCAATTTTTTTTTTTTTTTGACTTAAAAAAATTCATGTAAAATCATTTGTATTCATATACCTGTGAGTAAGATGTTTGGAAGTTTGAAGTTGGTCCAATACTCTATGTCTTACTTTTAAACAAGTTTTAGAAACTTCAGTATTTTATATGAAATATATTTTTTAATCTAAGTTATCTATGAACATTTTAATTTTCACCACCAACAGTTAAAGGATTAATTTATATTCAAAAACACATAGAAAGTAACCATCTTTAAATACATATTCATTGTGTAGCCAGGTCAATTAAGAGATATTCATTCACTTATTTGTAACTTTTTTTTTCAATAGTAATCTTGAAGGAATTTATTATTTATATTTTTTCTAGCAGAAGATGCAAGGTTCACTGTTAAGATTTTTTTTTTTATGTGTATAACAGATTTGACCCTAATTTGATAGCTAGAGCAAAGATAGATATTGTAGGTTTGTGTAAATTATATCCCTTGATCATCAAAATGAAAGTTTAAGAAATTTTCAATAAGCTGCAGAGTAGAGTAAAATCAAAGATTTCAATGGTACATGCAACACAGTGTTTTAATTTTGACATGCTATTTAAGCATTGATGAAAAGAATCATGCAAAGTCATTAAAACTACACAAATAGGCTAAAAAATTCTTCAACTGAATTGTACCTTATTAAAACAATTTTCACCTTTTATTTTAAGTTTCTTTATATTAGGGCATGCTCACATAACACATGAAACATCAAAATGTGTTAATATTTCAACATGATGAAAGAAGGATAACTCTTGTACAATACATGCCTATATACTCGATGAACAGAAAAAAAAGTATGCAAGGGGGGAAAATGCTACAAAAAATCTAAAGGTTGTGAAATCATTTACCTTTTCTAACAATTTCAACTAATGAAAATAAACAAAAATGAAATTTAATTCTACTGAAATAATGAACAACATATTTTGACACATGCATGCACAAGTTATTGGCAATATCTATAATCAAGATCACAAAACCCAAGAAAAGTTTTAATAACAAAGGTTTTTAAAGATTTCAAACTATATACGACATAAAATGGACAACATCGAACCAACCTGAAGTTTTTTCCTAAATTTCATCTGTTAATCAGATTGTGGTCAATTTTTAATCATACCAGTAATTAATTAAATGAAACATCAACACAAATTGGTACATGTATGAATACCTGACATTTTTGATTAATGACGAATTAATTAAATTGATTACTGTGTTAAAGATTTATATTATTCCATAATGTCAATTATCAGAAGAACCTTCTGTTTTTAAGACTGAATTGTTACCAATATTAAAAGCATACACAAACACTATGTCATGCTTTCAGAGTTAATTCCCTTTGTATGTGTACATTGTGTGAATATTTATAATGCCTATCTCCATCATGTTTTTTGTGTACCTATATGCCTATATTACACATAGAGGAATGTCCCAGTGCTTACCTTTAGTTTTGTGATTCCTTCTATTGTAGACTCTGTTCCTACAAGTTCCCTGACTAGTGTGGAGCCCAGATACTAAAACAGAAGAAATTCAAAACCTCTCAGATCAATTTTCATCCCAAGAAATCGTACTGAACTTTTAAAAACAAACCTGAGAACTGTACAAAAAAAAGTATCTTTAGTTGGATACAAGGGTGAATCTTATTGGGTTTCACATTTTTTCTAAAATTGACTGTCGATCTAATTCATTTCATTACAAAATTCATCGAAAATCTAAAATCTTGTGTATCAAGTGAAAAAAAATCACGAATAAAAGTTGATTTTTAATTTTATTGCTGCCCTTATGTAGAAATATTGTCTCCAACCTTATATTAAGACCTCTTGATAAGACATACCTGGGCGGAGTAGTTACAGCAGCCCTTGACCAACATTTCTGGCCGGTGCCTCCACTGTTTGATGGGGGTAGCGGTGTTAGCCTGGTGGGGAGGCCTGATGTGTATGGAACTGTCCCTTAACGCTTTACCCTGAATAGAGAACAGACATGTGTCAAGAATAAAGAAAGCTACCAAAAATCAGACATGACCAAAATTTATTTTTATATCTAATGTTTCATACAGTTAGAGTATGTTCATTTCAATGGAATTCTTGTTTATACATTATAAAAGCATACATGAAAATGTTTTGTAAAATGAGTGTATTTATTTAATTTAAAAGTATCCTGAATTTGAACACAGAGAATAAACAAATAGTAAAGACGCCCTTTATTTTTTGCTTTGACAACCACACGCAATATATGATAGTTGGTATATATGTTTCAGTACTTCTAAACCACACTTAGGATAATCTATGTATTGTACTATCCTAAATTGTCTTTATAATAACTTTACCTGTTCTTTGCGGAAGACGTCCTCATCCTCGCTGCTGTCTGGGAGGGAATTCTGGGATACCTTGTTTTCCTCCTCTGAGGATGAGGCGAGAGGTTTGACCTTAGTGTAGTCCTTGTAGAGGTTAAGTTCTGGTTCTGATGAGGGCTTATCCTCATCCTTCGTACGCTTCTTCTGTAACAAAAGGAAAAAAAAATTATGTAGAAGGGACAATTTTCTATGAATGGCTTAATCAAAAATTGACACTTCCTGGACAAATCGATTTATACTGAGGTTCAATATCAATTACTATTTATAGTTAAAATTACAGGTATCTTATCTGTTGTACTGTAAAATGTTTCATGCAGAGACTATCCAACATCTATATTCCTCTTCATCATTGAAACACTTGAGAGAATTATCTTGTATACTTTATTTTATAAAATACTAGAGGAAAACTGTTTCATACATGGATATTTTACTTGAAAAAGATGTTAATGGTAATTTAACAACCGAGCTATATGATAAACCTGATGACTTTAAATTTTCTATCGTCACCTTCCCTTACTTATGCAGCAATATACCTTCATCACCTGTATACATAGTCTATATATCTCAGTTGATTCGATACGCAAGAGCATGCTCTACGTATGAACAATTTCTAAAACGAGGTAAATTATTGACAAGCAAGTTGATGAAACAAGAATATCAACAGTCTCGTTTAAAGCCATCATTTCGTAAGTTCTATGGTCGATACAATGACCTTGTCAGCAAATATCATTGAGTCAAATGCTGACTGACGTTTTTCATACTAATTGTTAGTCTATTTACACACTGAATTGACGACTTAATGTTTAATCATGAAAAGCATACGGCAGGTGTGCTTAGGGGATGCTCACTCCTCCATTTCCCACCTCTGATGTTTCAGAGGTCCGTGTTTGCTCTGCTCCTATTTTATATTGTTTTATGGACTTTGAGATTGAATACTGTTAGTTATCTCCATATCTTTCTCTTAAATGCTTCAGTAGTTCATCAAATCACAGATAAACATGTATTTTTTCCCTCAAAGAAACTAAACTGAAGATGGACAAAGTTTGAGACAAGTAAAAGTTGTCTCTCTTTACCTACCAGACTAGAGAACTGTCTCTCGGGTTTTTTCCTGTTGGCCAGTGAGGCTAGGATTCTCTTCCTGTGTCCCACGGCTGAGATGTCTAGCACACTGGTCAGTTCCACCTCCCAGAGCTTCATCACACGCTCCATTGTGTCAAAGTTCTTGTTCATGAACGTTTCTGTCTTGTCTGACAGATGTAGGGAATTTAACCACTCACTCACAGACACAGGGAGGTTGTCTGGGTCTGAAATATCAACACATTTATCAAATTATGGAAAATTTATGCATTTTATTTAAAAGAAATTAATAAGTACTATCTATTTTTTATTGATATTCTTTATGTTCATAAAATTGGGTTGGTGATCTCTGTAGGACTTTCAAGCTAAGATCTACACAATAATTAACGGTAGTCCAGACCGTACAAAGCCTTTACTGGTAGATATGAGATGGGAAGTTACTTGGCTAAAAAAAGATAGGAAAGGGAAACAACTTACCTATGCCATAGAGAAGTCTGAGGAGAAACCTGGCTGGGATTTTAAAATACTGACTGGAGTTAGCTGAGAGAGTTAGTTGAAAGTAAGCTGATCCTAAGTAAAGGATGGTTAAGTATTTTTGCTGGGAGGTAGGGGTTGATACATAAAGGAACAGGGGGGGGATTTCTTATCCAAGAGGGTGAGGTTGATAAGTAGCTACAACCTGAGAACTAGTGGGGAGGGGCATCTGCCTGTAGAAATGAGCTAAGGATTTTTAATCCATAAGGGTAAGGCCTAGGGCTATGAATTGCTGCTGAGAACGAGTTGGGAGCACTTACCTATAATGAGCTGGTGGGGGATTCAGACACTGCCCTAAAAGGATAAGTGGGGGGGGGGGGGGGTGGTCATACACTTCCCTAAAAGAATAAGTTGCGGGGGGGGGGGGGATCTAGTCCATAAGGCAGAGGTTGATAAGAAACTGCCATCTACGAGCAAGTTGGGATGGGAGGGCTTATCTTGATCTGAGAACAAGCTAGGTGATACTTACCTATAGGGGTGAGCTGTGGAAGTGATTTGGCTGAGTCCAGGATCTTCTTCCTGTGTTCCAATGAGGTAATTCCTATAGCTTCAAGGTCACTATCCTCCATTATCTTCTCCCCCTGTTAAAAAAACACTTCTATGTATAAACTGAGAACAAAGCAGATGTTGAAAATCATTCTAACATGAATAAATACATGTGTGGCTAATTTTCCCCTCAGGAAGTGATTGGTAATGACGTAGGCTATTGATCATGCAGGTGACGGTTAAATCAGATTTTGTCAGTGTCCTGTGACATTGTTGTGTAGGGGATCTCTCTTACTGCAGATTAAATCATTATTTTTGTCCGGGGAACTCACCAGAAAGTCTGTGTGGTCAAATCCGTTAGCCACCAGGGTATTCTCGTATTGGCCCAATCCGATCTCGTCCAGCCATTCCCCCACACTCAGGATCTGTCCGGGATCTAAAAGAAGATTTCTCACTCTGAAATCTAATCTAACAGTTTATTTTCCCAGTAACATGGAAATAAATGTTAATCTCTTTTCATTTTTTTTTTTCAGTTTTAATCTGATAGAAAAATTTTAATCTTTGTTTTTCAACATGTTCAAGATTTAATTTATTGATTCATAGACTTCTTACACAAGTAAACAAGTTTTTTCCTTGGATTTTTTTCCTTCTTTTTTATACATTACTTCAGATGATCAAATGAAGTTATTGACTCATCCCAACTGTGACAAGCCTTAACACTTAGTATTCTGTATCTACATATTACATAACTATCAATCTCTACTTACGGATGCATTGGATTATGCAATACATCATAATAAAAGCAAAATTTAATTTGTTGTACACATCAAGAGCATAAATATTTTTCATAATATTTGTCAGTGTTTTTCTAAACTCATTTCAGATTTTCAGAATTAAGTGAGCAAAGATTTTGTAGCATGCGAAAGATAAGAGAACCAAGGGGCATTACTCTGCAATAGCAATTAGGATGTGGTTTTTCTTATAGCCCCTGGCAAGAAAGGCAAGATTAAAAGGCAATGCTTACCAATATCTTGAAATTTTGTGAATTCTAAAGCATTAAAAATTTTGAAAATTTCAACTTTTTATAAAATGGTAGTAAATTACATTATAATTATATGTCATATACATAATCTTTTGAAAACTTTACATCTTCAAAAATAATTTTTTGACCATTGAATATATAGATCAGTGCCCCTGCCACTTTATGCTTTAATTTAATCACTTTTAAGATTTCCTGCTTAATTCTGCTGTCCGACTAAACTCAAGATACCAAGGGTTTAAAATAGGGACATTTAACCTTTGGTATTCATTCAAAAATCATCAAGAGAATTGAAATTTTCACAAAAAATACACCTCACATAATTGGAGACAAAAATACATACACTGTTGTAAACTATCAGCTAACTTTTTCAGAAAGGCTGGTTCCATTTCTCTCATAAAGACAGACTCCCTGGCAATTCCACCCCCAAACGATGCCATTATGTCCTCAATCTAAAGAACATGCAAGACTACAAGTGCAGAAAGGTCATGCACAAAATGAGAGGAAAGTAGTAGAATAAGATAAATATTTTCACAGGAAATCTGCAACTTTCAAAACCTGCCCCTTTTTAGTATGGGATAAAAAAAAATTGGAAAAAACCTGAAATCCACAAAAAATCTTGTTAATGGCATAATTAGTTAGCAGAGAAGTTAAACACCAGCATGGGGTTTAGGTGAATGTGGACCTAAATTTTATATACTGAAACTAAAATTCTAAATTTTGGTTTTTGTTTCTCAATGCCTTTTCTAAAACTAGTCTAATGGTTCTTTTTAAAACCAAAAATCTAGATGTTTTATGGTGTCTGAAAATAAAATATCATTGGCAATATGTTCCTGCATGGACAGATTTTATTTTTAGCATGTCTTAAAAACAATGCATAAGTATGCTTTCAGCTATTTTCATGTAGAATTGTTTATTAGTAAAAGAGGAGCAATCAAAAAGAAGTATTGAAATTGAAAAAAAAAAAAGAAAATCATTCTGTTCATGCATAGGCTTATAGATATGGGCAGATTAATGTGTGTGATAATGCGAAAGAATGTTTAAAATATCTTGTCAGATGTATATGAGATATTGCGAGTCATCTCAGCATGCTGGTGTACCTCGGTTGAGCATCTTTATCTCGGCTTCAAATGAAGGCAGGTCAGTGTATACCCCAATGTCTCCCCCAAAACTGGAGACAATGTCTGCAATCTAAAGGTCAAGGTCAAAGTTTATTCATGATTCGCAAATAGAAATATTTTTTTCAATATCAAAATTTCTTAAATATTAAAGAAATTTCTTAGAAATACAAGAGATCAGAACATCTCTAACTCCAATTCTTAAGTATATATCAAAGTTATTTGGAAATTCAAACCACATATTCGTAAACTATTTTGTCCAATCATATCCAAAGAGATCTCATTTTTTGGTCCCATTGGGATTCAGATAATGAGGTTTGAATTAGAGAATTGTATGGATCTAGCTATTGCTACCAGTTTTCTACAAAAGTATTGGTATTTTATAATCTGAATTGACTAATATTGAGGTCCCATGTCTTAATTTTGGTAATATCAAGGTCAAGGTCACAAGCCTGGCAACAATAGCATCCAATGTATATTCAATCACAAAATTTATAATACAGCCAATTTAGTGTAACAAAAAAAAACCCTCTTACCTTTGCCCATTCTTCGTCATCATCCACCCCCTCCTCCTTCCCATGTAATCTGGACTTCCTTGGCTCATGTGTTGTCATGGCAATGGTTGCCATACTAGGTTCAATATTTTCTTCTTTCATGGGGTCAAAAGTCATTGCCATGGCACCCGGCAAGGACTTCCTCTTTGAGGACCATGAGTTTCGGTGTGCGACATTGTCCGTAATTTGGGTCAGAGCAGTTCGCGGTCCACCAATCACGGAGCCCCTGTACAAACCTACAACAACAAAGTAAACCATCGTTAACACAAATTTACAACTGCAGTGTTAATACATTTACTTATCCTAGTGTATTTGATGACACCTGCACTACTGTGTTTCTCCCCAAGGAAAATTCTTATATCATTAATCCAACTCTAATTAGCAGCCATCTAGTTAATTAGTAGGCAAACATTTGAAATATACATAAGTACATGTACCCTAGAATCTTGAAACACAAATACTCTAAGAAACCTTTTGAAAAGCCAACTCCCACTAGAAAAAAAGATACCCAGCACTTTTGCTTTAATCTGTCGCTTGGTGGATTCTAACATTGAAGAACTATATATAAGCTTTTCAACAGATATCTCTATTTACCGGGTATAATATTTTCATGAAATATGCAGTTGCAGTAAATTTCAATAAATCAGGATTACATAAAACTTAAAAGAACTTTAGTACAGTAAAATGCATACTCTTATAATAGAAACCAGAAGTCTCTGTCGAGACTGTAGCTCTACTGGTTTGTACTTATCAAAAACCATTGCACTATTTTATGTATCTTTGTGTAGTCTACTTATGTGCCAACTTATTTTGAAATCAGACAAAAACTGTAGAAGGAGTAGCGTTTTTAAGGAATTCCACAGAAAATTCTATTTTGAGTAACCATAGCAATACCGTTCATCAAAATCAAAAACCGATGCACTATTCTATGTATCTTAGTGTAGTCTACTTGTGTGCCAAGTTATATTGAAATCAGACCAAAACTGTAGAAGGAGTAGCGTTTTAAAGGAATTTCACAGAAAATTCTATTTTTAGTAACCATGGCAACACCGTTCATCGAAATCAAAAACCGATGCACTATTCTATGTATCTTAGTGTAGTCTACTTGTCTGCCAAGTTATATTTAAATCAGACAAAAACTGTACAAGGAGTAGCGTTTTTAAGGAATTTCAGAGAAAATTCTATTTTTAGTAACCATGGCAACACCGTTCATCGAAATCAAAAACCGATGCACTATTCTATGTATCTTAGTGTAGTCTACTTGTGTGCCAAGTTATATTGAAATCAGACAAAAACTGTAGAAGGAGTAGCGTTTTAAAGGAATTTCACAGAAAATTCTATTTTTAGTAACCATGGCAACACCGTTCATCGAAATCAAAAACCGATGCACTATTCTATGTATCTTAGTGTAGTCTACTTGTGTGCCAAGTTATACTGAAATCAGACCAAAACTGTAGAAGGAGTAGCGTTTTTAAGGAATTTCACAGAAAATTCTATTTTTAGTAACCATGGCAACACCGTTCATCGAAATCAAAAACCGATGCACTAATTTATGTTTCTTAGTAGAGTCTACTTGTGTGCCAAATTATATTGAAATCAAAACAAAATTGTGGGAAAATTCTAAGCGTTTTAAAGGAATTTCACAGAAATTTCTATTTTTAGTAACCATGGCAACAACCGTTCATCGAAATCAAAAACCGATGCACTATTCTATGTATCTTAGTGTAGTCTACTTGTGTGCCAAGTTATACTGAAATCAGACCAAAACTGTAGAAGGAGTAGCGTTTTAAAGGAATTTTACAGAAAATTCTATTTTTAGTAACCATGGCAACACCGTTCATCGAAATCAAAAACCGATGCACTATCCTATGTATCTTAGTGTAGTCTACTTGTGTGCCAAGTTATAATGAAATCAGACAAAAACTGTAGAAGGAGTAGCGTTTTAAAGGAATTTCACAGAAAATTCTATTTTTAGTAACCATGGCAACATCGTTCATCGAAATCAAAAATCGATGCACTATTCTATGTATCTTAGTGTAGTCTACTTGTCTGCCAAGTTATATTGAAATCAGACCAAAACTGTAGAAGGAGTAGCGTTTTTAAGGAATTTCACAGAAAATTCTATTTTTAGTAACCATGGCAACACCGTTCATCGAAATCAAAAACCGATGCACTATTCTATGTATCTAATTAGTGTAGTCTACTTGTGTGCCAAGTTATACTGAAATCAAACTAAAATTGTAGGAGGAGTAGCGTTTTGAAAAATTGTTTACAGACGGACAGACAGACAGACGGACGGACGCCGGACGCATTACTATCGCATAAACCAGTAGAGCTAAAAATTGGTATTTGAAGATACACTAGTCAATATCAAGGTAATAGTAATACCATATTACAGTAAAACAAGTTTCATATAAACTATGATAAAAATTATTACATTAAACAAATTACAGAAAACCACATACAGTGTTTTATCACACTACAGTTATATAATCATGATTACATTAAAATCGAACTTCAGGACAGGTTTACATCAAATGACTGTGTAAACATGATAACATCATACACTGTACTAGTGCAATATGTTATTGAACTGACATAAACTACAGTAGAACATGTTTATACCAGACTACAGAAAAACATGGTTACATCAAATCTTCAGAGACTATGTACAAGTTTATATAAATAACATGATGTTCTACAATTGCAATACAAATCTTTTACTTATGCTCATGCTGATAAAAAAAATTCTACGAAATATACATTTCTTTAGAACATGCAAAAAAGAAAACTAATTGGAGACTAATAAAATGATAAAATTATGTAAAATTTTATTTTTTTTCAATGATATTTATTTTCTCATAGTAAGAACTATACAGAAAATATTGAGACTTTCGAAGCCTTTACCTCTAATTTATACAAACAAAAAAATGTACACTTTTTCTACATTATCAAAAATTTTGAAAGGTTTCAATTTCAGCTGCCAATTTTGTTCCCACACTAATGAAAAACAGATTCTGTATAAATCATTATACTCTGCAACCTTCAATTAGCACGTACAAATTAGCACAAAGCTCAAACCACAGTGGGTCCCCTAATGAATGAGTTTTCAACACCCCCAAAAACATGTTTCCTTGAAAAGAACATTGCAAGTTTTCCAGAAGTTGAACTTAATTGAATATGTCAGAATTACATCATCAACCTGAATAAGCCCTTGAACCAATATGTTATATTGAGTAATGATTTAGATGCAATGTTATTCATTGCTCTAATTAAACCAAAGGACCAGTTTAACTGTGTATCTTCATTTCTATAGACTTTGATTTATACACCTTATTATTGTTTTCTATAACTCCAAAAATAATATCCAAACAAGATGTGTTTGTGAAACACTATGCGCCCCGCGGCAACAAAGTCCAATAAACTATTTTTAGCACATAAGTCACAGTCAAGGTCACAAGGTCATTCACCTTGGTGTCAATTAAAAGAACTTAATTAGTGAAGTAAGCATACCAACTATGAAATCTCTATCTCTCATGGTTCAAAAGTTATGGTGAAAGTTCTAAAAAGCTACTTTTAGCATATAGGTCACAGTCAAGGTTACAAGGTCATACTCCTTGATGTCATTTGAAAGAGCTTCATTAGTTGAGTATGCATGCATACCAAATATAAAGTCTTTACCTCTCATGGTTCAAAAGTTATGGCGAAAGTTCGAAAAAGCTATTTTTAGCATATAGATCACAGTCAAGGTCACAAGGCCATTGAACCTTGGTGTCATTTGAAAGAGCTTCATTAATGTAGTATGCATACCAAATATGAAGTCTCTATCTTTCATGGTTCAAAAGTTATGGCGAAGGTTAAAGTTGACAACAGACAGACAGACAAACAGACAAACAAATAAACAGGCAAACAGACAGGACAAAAACAATATAAGCCTTGGATCTATCGATCCGGGCGCATAATATTGCACTGGTAATCATGGTAATAGTAAAATCAATCTGCAAAAAATATCCCATCATCATTATAGTAAGTATATAAACAGATGTTGAAAAGCTGTCAGGTGCAAAGAAACTGTCAAAGTTTCCGTGTAAATCATGACATGCACGATGATCTTTTTTCTAGGAACCCATGTTTCTTTCCCATTTCTCTTCATTTATACTAAGGTTCCTGGCTTGTCAGCTCTTTACAGATCATCAAACTGGATCTCCATCAACTTACACCTCATTGGTAAACAAGACAGGCCAGATGTGCTGAGTCTCTGCCCATCCCATTGTCAACAGATTGTGCAATATGTATACAAAGGGAAATCCTGGTCATTAAGATGAACATGCAAAAAAGCCAATTTAAGTGCATTGGCCATAAACATGCATGATCATGATGATTAAGAAAAGAAACTAAAGCACCATTCAAAGTTAGATCAAATTCTTTGGTTAAACATATATGCTTCATATAAAATATTCATATTCCTAATATTCCAAGATCTCAATGAACCCCCCACATTCCAAAGACAGGCAAAAGTGAAACTTAAAACTTAATTTCCATTTTTTTCAGAAGGAAAATCAAATGTTACTTTTCAAATACACGTACCTAATTTAATGTATATAAAAATCCTTTTTTCATTCAATTTTACAATTTAGAAATATATTACACATATGACTATACACTACGTACATTACTTGTTATAACAAAATTAAGAAACTGGGTCAAACTCACTATATAATTATGATGTGATCATAAAAAATATATGTCAACATCAATCAAAAATGCCATATTCATTATACATCCTTAAAGAAAATAGCTTCTTCAAAATTTAATACAACTTTCAACAGTCGCATGCACTTCTAATTTTTTCTAAATATTTATGATTAAAACTGCGCGCCAAAAACCAAGTTCTGACATTAAGATGAATGTTGATAAAGTAAGATCAGATAGAGAGCAAATCTTATGAAACTTCCCATGTACATACCTTCTGTGTACCAAATCCTCATGATTAAAAAAAATCTGAACAATATTTTCAAAAAATCAGAAAACTTTTCTCCACTGAGTCACCTAACTCAGGTTAAACTGTTACGTGACTCCCGCCAAGCCCCTGCTTGCTTCTGATTCAATCACCCATCTGACTCTGATTATAAAACATTAAAGGAAGAGTGCTTGTCCTGCGTATACCTTCCCGCTCATTCGTAAAAATTATTTGGCAATGCCTTACATCATATTAGCGTAATCACGCCAGAGCAGTAACAGGGTTTTTTTCTGTCAAAAATATATTATACTTTTTTATTTTTTAATACAGTTATCTTGATCATCAAAATCTGGTACTGCTGGAAATGGGAAAACAACTGCAGATGAAACAAAAGCGTAATGAAACATATATATAATACACTGATTTGTATACCCTACATTACAAGGTTAATTTAGCTACCTGTCTGCAATTAGCCCTACTTCCCTAACACCTTGAGAAGTGAATGTCAGTGAGTTTAATCCAATATCTTCCCTCCCAGTGTAAATTATTAACTGAATCAATGAACCTTTTAAATTTTCAGAAGTACTAGTGATATTACTAATTAAACCATTTAGAAAATTGAATCCTTCAAAATCATTCATGTTTCACAATTAAGTGGCCTTATACTATATATAAGCTTAGTTCTGACAACTGTGTGTCAAAATCTTTTTAACAAAATGTCTATGTAACTAATATTTTAATTTCCTGAAATAATTTTAGTGGTCAATATGAATTAACATCCTAATTCCTGATAGAAATACCTCATCCCAAAAAAATTGAAATGGGGTCATCTTGAGATTTTGGCTCATTCACACAAATCTATCTTGAAGAGCTATATGGATATCCCTAATGGCCACTTTATATTCCTGACAATAGCAGTCAGGATAATGGCACTTCCTGGAACTTTATCTAGGTCAGTGACTCACATACCGGTATTCCTCTACAGGTGCATTCCTATAGGCCATAACTTATATCGTACCTGCCTGTGTGGTATGTGGGTATACTAACTTCTCAATATCTCTACATTCTCAGAAATGAATTCCAATCTTCGGGATTGGTTCCTGGCCATTTTTTGCGTTTCAATATGTGCAATGTGGAACATTTCAGCAGCAGGATTTACCTTCTTTTTTTTATATCTGCCCCATTCAGAAACAATAAACATGCCTCAAAGCTGCATCAGATCTTTGCTCCATTTCAATACAGTAAACATCATTTTACAATCAATTTTATACCTCTAAACAAACAGTATGCTTTTCTTCATTGAAGAAATGGCATCCACATTTAATTTCTGGAAGGCAACAAAAGATATGGCCTTAATATTCTCCAGTCCCAAAAACTACCTGTATCTTAAGAGAAAATATTTACACCAGATATTATTTGTGGGTGATGTAAAACATCTTCCCTCTAAATCAAACACAGAGGCACCCTCTCCAATTTATGAATTCTGAACCAGATGAAGAGGAAAATAATGTGTATAGATTCTGAAATCCAGATGATTTAAAGTGTTTTCAAGGACAGAAAGTGTGAGTTTCACTCTCAGAAATCTTAAGGTAGTGTATAATTTCCTAAATTTACAAGCATAAGCCTTTGAATCTAATTTGTGCATAATCTTCGCAAAACTAGCATGCATTTATATGCAGTCCTTTGAGTGGCACTACTTGTACAAAGATAGCAACATATTCTGTGCCAGTGCCTGCTAAGACAGAAATGTAACATGATTATTGCCAGAAGTAGACAAAAATCACTTCTGAATCACAGTCTTTTTTTTTTAATCAAACAACTCATTTGGGTGCCACAGATCGACTTACATCAGTATTTTTAATGTCTAGATTTACTATGTTTACCTGGGGTAATGATTTTTCCCATATTTTTGAAATGTTTAAATTAAATTTAATTCCAAATTTTTACACACACACTTTATATAAATATAATTATTTGATATATATAGATTTTAATTATATGCTCAAATTTAATGAATTCCAATTTAATTACACATTTTTCATCTACAACTATATAACCTACCATCTTCAGAGCAACAACTCCATGATACAGCTACATTGTAAGTGTTAGAAGACATAAAAGATGTTAGCTACTCCTCATTCTTCATGTCAGGCCTTAATTAAATTTATCTATAAACACCAAACCTCTCAACAAAGAAACAAAGATCACTTTTAATCTTTATCAAGTGCAAAATACCTGACTTTCAATCTATCAGAACACAAATTACAGTGAGCAGACAGGAGCCAGCGTAAGTTATCGTGGTCCTGTAAATCTCCGTTTTCTACTACCGTCATGTGGATAGACATCAGAAGAAAGCTTCTCTGATAAGATGGGTAATTTGACAAATTCACCCAAAACACACAACAGCTGTGTCAAAATTACTACCATAGCACTGTGGCATGTCAGCATGCAGACACGAAAAAAAAAATGTTTACAGACTCATCAGTGGTGGGAAATTTTTTTTTGCAAATGGGTCATGACTCGTTCTACAACTCTATAGTACAACAGGGAAAGTAACGAAGATGTTTACTTATTAGAATTTTTTCCCTTGATGATTGATGTGCAAGACTATAAGCTCACAGTATTCCTTCAACCCTGGTGTCCTAACTTCCTATAGTGGGTTATACAGTGCCTACAACTTACAGCTCTATGCCCTTTGGAAACTATGATATAACTTTTCCCAGAATTTATTGGAACTTTGTATGTCTGCAGGTAAAACTGCCATAGCTTTTTTTTTCTGCCTCACAGGAATCCTCACAGAACATTGTTCTTTGATTGTCTGAGGTCAAGCATCTTGTCAAGATTATGCATGAACTTCCCTAAGACAATAGAACGGCCTGGTGTTAATCACTGACCTTCTGTTTTGTCTAACTATACAGCACCGTTTATCTAATATCTAGCAATGAATAAAGCACCAATAAATATTACTCCCTAGATCAACAGAATGAATCAAAGGATCCAAAGGAAATACAAGAAATGCAAAACAGGTAAAGAAAAAATGCAAGCATGTGTATCGCCATTAGTGACCGATTTACAAGCTTTATAGAAACAAAAATTAAGGTTTTTTGGACAATCCAAATGTTTCAATAGTTTGAGAATAAAAAAATCCACTTACATCCCTCTATACCATGTTTACAATAAATTAAACATAATCAAATACATACAAGCCACATTACATACAGTACTGTACATTACATATGGCCTTACCAATATGTACTTCACAACAGGAACTGTTAGAACAAAGTCCTTAATTAACTTGCATAATTATAAACTATACTATACATCCCGATTCATATAATCAAACAAAACTAATAAAATTCCCTGAATGGAAGAACTAAAAACTCACTTGATGATTGGCAATCAGAAATCTACAGTGACAATGCGAGACATCTCCCTTAATATGTAACTTCCGCAGCCAACAAAAAATTCAGTTGTTAATGCACTTAAGTGCATCTGCAGTTATAGCTTAGTAATGTACCATGATCATTTATCACTTTCCACTTACACTTATTACTGAATTTAGTATACAGTGCAGATTTTAAAGTTTCCTTCCTCGGTTGGCCAAGCCTTGTAGCAAAGGAGGAAGTACATGTATTTTATAACAAAAACAAGGAGTGGATCATACTTTTTTATGATACCCCCTTTATGTTTTTCTAGCACATTACAAGGTTCTGATTTTCTTCTTATTGCAATATCTTTTGATCTGACGTATTTTTTTAAGAAAAATGAAAATGCAATAATCTCATAATCCACTATAAATATTCTAAACAGCTTCTCAGGGTGCAAGAAAATGCCACAAAAAAATTTACGATCCCAGATCATTCAGATAAATCTTGCAATCTGCAAATTTGGCCATAATGAAAATATTGTAACTTCCCCGCCCGCCCCGATTTTATGCCCCCACCTCGATTTTTTTTATTTCTGTTTTTCTTCGTCTTAATTATGATCGGGATTGGTATTCATCTAACAATATACTTTACGTTTTAAATACCGCGAAAGTCGACATGATTTTGACAGCTGAAAAGATAGTAATTGCTGTAATACATGCGCATATATTTTAAACAAGGGTCTTGGGTTGAAATAGATTGGTGATGATGTGAAGTAAGAGATAATTGAACCTTTACTATGACTTTTATTCGGGTATTGTAGATGAAATTACATCGACTGACCAGGTCAATAAGAAATCTGCAAAATTGAAAAAATAAAAAAATATAAAATAAAAGCCGCCCGCCCGCCTCGATTTTCAAAAAAATTTGGATGAGAATCTAGCAATTTATTTATTTTGGCCTTTACTAAATTTGATTTAACAATCACGAACAGTTAAACAGATTTCTCTACCATATAATATGAATATATATAATAAAGAACGGCCAACAACTAAGATCAAAGAAAAAAAACACTGTGTTCCACTAGACTAGTACAATATCAAACAGATCGCTACAAAATAAAGACTTTACAAGCCTGTGTTCTGCACAAACATTAAAATACTCGTACAGACGGCTCCATTTTCTATTATTCTGACAAGAGATAGGTAAAACAGAAGAGAAAAAAGAAATTGGGGAGGTGTTTCTGTCTATCATATATATATAGATATCAAAAGAGATCAGATAACTTAATGTGTCTGCAGATTTCATTATATTGCCTCTCTTATACACGTGTAATCCTAGGAAAAAAACGGAGGCAAATCTTTTGATTGCAATAAAACATAACCCTCCCTTCACCTCTCTTCACCCCCACTTCTCTGATTCCATCAGCGCGATTGAAAGAAAAAAGAAACCCCTGAGATTGCCAAAAATGTTTTGACATAGAATTTCTTTACTCTCCTGGAAATATGTTGTACAGTGACAGATTTCGACCACAGGTCCAACAAAAAATACAACTTCTCAGCTTAATGATCAGATATGAGGTATTTGTATAAACAACATTATGAAGATAACACTTTTTTTTCTAAAGTTCATAAAAAATGTGATGGAATTCTTTACAATCTATAACAGAAGAAGGCTCCAATTGTTTTTGTTGATTTATAAACTTTCTAATTGACATCTATCTATTCAGTGAACTAAATGTACTAAAATTCTCAATGAATATGAACTTATCACCCTTAGA